AGGTAAGTCTTTCCTTCATAGCATTTGTTTGAGATTGGATGCCTTCGGGTAGGCTGGCCTTCGGGTAGGCTGGCATGGGGGATGCCACAAAGCACGTCAGGTATCTATTTAGGTAGACAGGCACGACAAAGATGTGCCAAAAGCACGTATCTGCCAGATGGTGGACATTTGATTGGCACAGCAAATGATCAACACCTTGAGCCCTTTCGTGCGTCGTGCCTGCCTTGGTATCTGAATCGTTGGTCAACTTGATGTTCCAAGAGACTTTGCTGCACCTCCAGTCAAGTGTCGCGCCAGAGTTGCTAATGCACAAGATTTTATCTGCTCTTACAGAATCTACCAGAAGGGGGAGGACGCGGACAATGACTGGGATTCGACATTGGGAAACGATGCCGCGAGCTCGACTGCTTCGATTAGCTCGAGTATCCTCGAGTATCGCACCATCAATGGCCGAACTTACCACAGTGATTCCGTGACCGATACATCGTACTGGTGAGTGATACCTTGGAAATTTGAAGAAGACATTGAAAACTAACGACCGATGTGATGCAGGGGCCCCAATGATCAGAAGCAGAACGAGTTGCTGGATATCTTGTGAGTGAAACAAGGCTTGACAAGTGCTAGTGATCGACCCTTGGCTTACTTTTTCTCTTTTCTAGTCATCATACGATGACCATTGCCTTGGATGGCGATCTCTTCAAGGCGCCCATTACGGAGGATCCCAAGAATGCTCTTGACCTTGGCACAGGCACAGGTAAGCCAGCTTGCTTCATTACCTTGGAGGAAATCAATTCAAAAAAATGGGAGACGTCGGAACTGATGCGGCGTGAAGGGTTGTGGGCAATCGATTTTGCCGATAAATATCCGGATTGCAGTGTGATTGGCACCGACATATCCCTGATTCAACCCACCTGGGTGCCTCCCAACTTACGGTTCGAAGTCGACGATTATAACAAGGAATGGACATATAAGGCTAATTTCTTCGACTTCGTCCATATTCGCTGGCTGACCGGTACGGTTAAGGACTGGCATACCCTATACAAGGAGGCCTACCGCTGTTGCAAACCGGGCGGTTGGATTGAGCATATAGATGCATCTGGTACTGTTTTATCAGACGACGGTACAGTAGAGAAGGATATGGCTATGGGCCAATGGGGTAAGATCTGGCAGGAAGCTGGAAGACGACTGGGGACTCCGCTCGATGTTTTCGACCAGAATATTCAGGAAGAGGGTTTAAAGGAGGCCGGCTTCGTGAATATTTCGAAAAAGACCTACCCGGTGAGTGTTGCGTTCCATCACAGATTCAGCAAAACAGGCACCTATGGTCACCCGCCCTAACATGCATTTGAAGATGTGGCATGAGACTGATCAAACAAAACAAATACCCAGGTTCCTCTGTCGCCATGGCCTAAAGACAAGAAGTTGAGAGATGTCGGTCTCTACTTTTACGCTGTCTTGAATCAAGATCTCGAGGGCGCCACCCAGTTCATCTTCGGCAATGTTTTGGTTGGACTAAGGAGGAGATTTCTACCTACTGTTCTCACCTCAAGGCCGAGATCAAGAACCTGAAGATACATGGGTACTTCCCGTACCGCATGGTGTACGCGCAGAAGCCGCACGATGCTTGAGCCTTGAGCTCCGGCTAGGCAAGATTACTAGCCGGAGCTGGTTGTTCTTCCACAATAGGCGGTTGGAATGAAACAGGCTTCATCATGTACTTCGGATAAAACCGATGACATCCTTCTATTCAGAAACATGTGGGATGGATGGCGGGACGCGGATGAGACCTGGCACATGTGTGGCATTGGCATATCAACATGCGTGATGGTTGAATCCTCGGGGGGCCCTCGCAATCGTGTAGCAGGGTAGATCCCAGACCGTGGGAATGCCTTCAGCCTTACCCGGCCTCTGCCAAGATCACATTAACAAAGATTAATTTCAGGGGTGTTTTCAAAGTGTTTCTGGCCAACTGACAGAACAGGATGCGAGAGCGGTTTTCCCTGCGAGAGTTTTGCACGATGTTCGTTACGGTGTGTGAAGATGGCTCCCGAAGATGTGAAGGAAGCTGGAGGGGCCAAGGGAACGCATATCCTTGGTGCAGTTAGGAAGCCTTTCGTACCCCTTCGCCGATATCAAAAACGCATCTTCTGCTTTCTGGTACTCCTTGACCATCATCCATGCAACACCAGTCTGGTTGTAAGATTGTGCAAGCCGCTCATCTGCTTCTGTGCTCTGTTTCGCGATTTCCAGGCGAATGTCAACGAACCGTTTTGTGTGCGCAAGGCATGACTCTGCATCATTGGTCTCGTTGGAGATAGCACCAAGCGTATACCGGATATCGGATCCCAAGTCCCGAGTTTCATGAGTAGAGACGTTGACGCAGAGCTCCAGTGCCATCTCAAGAATGGGAAGAATTTTGTGTGATTCACCACGTTCGTGCTGATACCATCCAGCGCGATTGAGCAGCGAAGCAAAAGCAACGTCGAGGCTCTCGTCGCCTGGCTCAAAGTACCGCACGTACAGTTCCCGGAGCCTGGTAATATGCGGGTACAGTTTCTCAGATAGTTCCCACAGTTCGACAGCATGCCCACCAACTGAACTCGCCGGCCAAGCTGCAGATATAATGGCCACCGTGTTGGCAAATACCGGCTTTCGTCGCTCCGGTTCAATCTTCGCTCGGACAACATCTTGTGTAACGCGATGCATCCAGTATTCGGCCCGCTCCTGGTTGTGCCTGAATAGCGATGACCCGATGAGCTGCTTCCGGGCAGCAAAGAATGCAATCTTCTTCTTAAAGAAAGATGGAATTGGAACCGAAGCTGCGTGTGACAGGAAGAGCGACTCTTGCATAGAATCTGGATCCAAGAACGACGATATCTCTAGGATTGCCCTAGCCGAAGCCGAGAGATTTTCTATCGCCCAAACTGTCGAGAGATTGCCTCGGGCCGAGCTTCGTAGTGGTTGCAGGACAGTTTCGTGAACTACCGCCTCTTCTTCAGCGTCGTCGTACAGTGTCAGAAACTCCGTGTAAGTGAGGAATTCAAGTCGGATAATCCCTGCCATTTGGGCAAGCGCCAGCGGAAGGCCACCCAACTTTTTCCCGATCTCTTCTGCCTCATCATGGCGCCCGTTGACACCAGTAACCTTTTGTAGGAATTGTGCCGATTCAGAGGAATTAAAAGGCTGAATGCTGATTTCCACGGCTCGGTCCGAGAAAGCACTTTTGGCCAACGGACTTCTGCTGGTTAGCAAGACAGCGCCGCTATTGGCGACATCCCTATAAGGAGCCAGCAAGTCAGGGCCGTCCGCATTGTCAAAAATTACCAGCCACGAAGCCGAGACTTTGACTTGACCGTCAGCGGTATACTCAACCTTGAAGGGATCCAATAGCCACTCAAGCGCGAGACCTCTGCTGATGATCTTGTCGTTGGGCTCGTTGGGGTCCTGTATTCCCAATCGTACTGCAATCTGGGCGATATCTGTCTCCAACTTGGACGAATCTTCGGCTCGGACCCAAAAGATGGCATCAAATTTGTCCCTTTGGCTATAGACATATTCGATGGCGGTCTCTGTCTTACCGAGGCCACCCATGCCACACAATAGCCCAATGCGGATTCGATCGGGCTGAGATGACAACAATAAGTCAGCTGAAGGTAGCAAACAGTTATCAAGCTGTCTCAACACGTCGTCTCTGCCGAAAAAGCTTGTGTTTCGAACGAAAGGTTCTACCATAAAGCAAGTGATCTTCGGGTTGGCCTGCTTGATGGAAAAGTTTTCAAGAAGTGTCTCTATCTCCTGTTGCTGGCTTGATTGCCTAGATCTGATGTTGACATATGTAGACGTTTGTTGGTCAGACATGGGGGCTGCACCCGTGTCACGAAGTTCTATGGGAAGAAACTTGATTAGCCGGGCTAATTTGACAACAAGGATCATATTCTAAGATAGACAGACCTTTCTGTGCCCTGGCGAAGCTGAAATTTGTCATATCGAGGTTTTAAATGGACGTTGGAGTTTCTGGACTCTCCGCCCGACGAGCTCTCTCTGCAAAGACAAATAATGTTAGCCCAAAAACTCAGTTTGAGAGATGAGGGTTGCCAACCTTCATAGAAGAGAGGACAGAAGCTCTCACCACCAGCAAATCGACTCTCGAGGTTGTCATGTGCGCAGGTGATAACAGACGAGAGCCATGTTTTGATCTGTTGTATTGGGCTACCGTTTGGCTCACACAACGTAACTAGTTGAACGTGATCGCGATCCACGCCGAGACGTTGTTCGCTGACAGTTCCAATGGTGCACAAGCTTTGATCAACGATCTATGCACACAACAAAAAGGAGTGGTAAGCAAAGCGAATGGTCAGAGGTTTGCTTGATACAGCAGGAACGAGCAGGACTATTGTGGGTACTTACAATCAAATTCTTCGTCTTTGATCTTAGAGCTCTCAAAGTCACTCGCCCTGTATTCCGTACCTTTGTCGGTCGATCTTCGAATACCGAGAGCGTTTCAACTCTCAGATTTGTGATGTTGAACCGGCTTACCAGGTCAATCATCGTGGAACAACTATCTCTGAGCCTGGCTAGACATTGTCGGCTAAGTGAACCCGTCATTTCTTCTAGCTTCAGGATCGATATGATCCGTTCGTCGGTTTGCGCGCTGGTGACTCCCTCCAGACGATGTGGTGTGCCCAAAAAGATGATGCCTGCAATGGACATGAGATGTCTCGAGTACCGGTCATATTGCGCATTCGCAATGTACAAAGCTCGCCTAAGCACCGCTCTTTCAAGCCCATGACAGATGAACAGAACAGGCTCCGGCCGCTGCGATAGAAGAAGTCGGAATCTCTTTGCATCGAATGATAAATTAGGATACTTCGGTCTGCTTACACTAAGTCCATCCAAAAATGACGCAAAGACGGAGAGAAGTTCATGGCCTTCTTCTAGAAGATGTTGCCAAGTGAAGGCATCGTTGTAAGGAATATGATGGTCGTAGCCGTGGATGACGACACCCTGGCTGTTGAGACTTGCGAGAAATTCTCGCCATGGCGACTGGCTTAGACCCCATGACTTCGGGTTAGGCGTCCTCACGCCGGGGATAAGGATAATACTAACGTGTTTGCTGTTAGGTGGCAGTGAGCCAGAACTGCATGGAGATAAAGAATGAAACGGGCCTTTACTGTACACTAGGGCCCGTCTCCTTCACAGCCAAAAACTGGACAACGCGTGACCGGCTCATGCTGTACGCTATTCTACAGCCGTGAGCTGTGCAGTTGGATTATCTTGACGGAAGCCGTGAGGCAGGTAAGGGAGATCAACTGGAAATTTGGCGGGACGAGTAGGTTCTGGCAGGGTTGGCATCACCTTCACTGCGATAAACTGTATCTCGTAAGTGTAAAACATGACCGGAAGACTGCCAGCAAGGCCCACCATCAATCCTGCTTCCTGTCAGGCTTTATCAATTCTCAGACTTCCTCACAAGCCTGGCTTCCTTCCAGTCTGAATAGGTTCCTCTGTCCCATCTCAACAGGTTCCTTCTATCTATATAATAATACCTTCCTTCCAGGAGTCTGTCAGAGCTTAAGCGGAGTAGGCACGGGCCCCTTGGTCAATGGCTGGTGCCAAGTCCTGACATGAGGTGGGATTGCATCTTGATTCTTGACTACACCACACACCACACACCACTGTCCACCAGAACGTCATCTACGTACCCAGTCCCGCCTTCGGAATCTGACATACACATACCATATCAGCCCTCAATGCGGTCTTCTATTGAAGATATTTCCCCGATTGCTAGGATATTCCTTCAGTGGAGCAAAGCAAACAAAGAAGTGCATGTCGATGCTCTTTCCCGAAGGGAGAGACAATGATTGTGGATGGAAACATCAGCTTTCCTCCGATTCCGGTCGTAGGCAACAAGCCCACTGAGAAGGAGGAATGAAGCAAAGCTGTCTCAATGAGAAATCAACATCCGGAGGGGAACCAACAAGGACCAACCTCAGGGTAGACTGGCTACGGTAATATGCGGTTGAGTTCAGCGAGCATGTATCTTTGTCGAAAAACAAGTCCGGGGTGAACGGACAGAAGTAACGTGATAGATAATACAACGACAGAACTGAAGTGAGAACCGAAGTTTATTGTCTGAAGAAGAAAGAGTCAAAGCACGAACTCCTGTCCCAGACTGGGTTTGAACCCCGCACAACATCCCTCCTGATGTCACCAACCGCATGGACGAACATCCATGTCCGTCCAGGGGCGTCCTGCATGGTTACAGTGGTACCTCCCCCATTTGCAGGCTGTAACGCAGCGGCCCACGTCTACCCGACGACTCTCCCTTCCCTTCCTTCCTTCCTTTTCCTACACTCTCCCCACCCCATTTGCCCTTCGGTGCCCTGCTACCTTGATCAACGTCGCGGGAGAGACCTGGGAGATACAACTAATCCCCTCACTGTCTGTCTTTTGCGTTGCTCTTTCTCCTGTCTGTTCTACTTGACATTTCATCGGCTCCTCGGCTTCCATTTCCTCGGGTTTCAGTGTCCCTATACCGTCAGCGCGGAAAGATGGTGCTGATTCAGACTCCCGTGCCACCAACAGCGCCATTCTTTGACTTCTGCCTCCCGCTCAGGAATGGCGAACTTTCTGGTACGCTAATATGGCGAACTTTCTGGTACGCTAATATGACGAAGTGATTTGGGAACGTGAAGGGTTCGATAACCTGACCTGAAGAAAGAGAGCTACCTATGCCATTAATCTCTGCTCCTACACCATGTATCTTTTCGCAGCAAGTCTGTCATCCAGATGACCCTCGGCCTGCCTGTTCCAGTCCCTTCTGTTCATTTCTCCTATGAATAGCGCTTTAAACCTCCTGCGCAAATCATTCGTGAGAGCCACCAGATCGAAGCGGAATGCGAACCACGTCAGGAATCCCACAACCACAGCTACCACTGCCCATTGCCATATGGGACGGCCGTCATTGGCGTTGATCTCTTTGACGTTCATACTGAACAACGCCGTAACAAACCCCAGAGGCACATACACGGTAGCGAGCTTCGTCAGCTTGGTCACTTCCCTAGCCTCGGCACGCGCCCTCTGCAACTCTCCAATGCTCGCATTATGATCGACGATGCTCATTCATTGCACGCATTCTGCCAACACGGACTCTGCGTACGCCAGAGCCGCACGGTAATCCGCCAGAGTTGACCTGATTCCTTGTCTGATAGTACTTGGCTCAAGTTGTGGCGTGGCTGTTGTGGTGGGTTCGCCGTTGGTACTACTGCTGCCGCCGCCAATGTTGAACCATGCCGGACGTTGTGGCTCCTCGATGAGCACCTCCATGAAACTGATGGGAGTGGGTAGACTTTAGATGTGTCGGTTGAGTACCTGCTGGTAGTAAAGCTTGTAACGGTTCGTCACACCAGGGCGGCTCGCTGTAGGTAGACAATGCGGCAGTAATCCTCCATCAGCATGTCCATCTTCGTCTTTGACGGAACTTTGAAGGGGTCGGACGTTCCTGGAGGTGGTGACGTTGCCGGAAGTCTTGCTCGTCATCGACTTCGTAAGGCTACGTTGGGCGTGTGCGAGGAGACAGGTATGAAGTTCAGTCCGATGTCGTCCGGGCTTGAGTGCATGGTGGTAGGCTGCCAGGGTCCCTTCAGCCCGCTGGAAAGAGGTGCACCGTCATTGGCCCATATAATACCTGCAGCGGTCACGTCTGTGTTAGTAAGAGATCTATTGACAAATTGAAAAGCAACAAACGGCAAAGAACGTACCTAACCACCCTTTCCCCTTTCCCATACTCATTACGCTCAGCGACAACGCCTGTTCCAACGAGAAATACTCGCCCGCGTAGAGGGAGAACTCTCGCACAACTGAATCCCCTGGCTGGATCCCCGAAGCGTTCAGACTGGCCAGTTTATCCATGTACGTCGCCATCTCCTCCGCGGCCTCCTGCCTCTGACGGTCCACCGTCGCCGACCACCCCCCCTTCCGTTCCTTCGCCTTCGATGGCAAGTACCAATGCTGGGAACCTGTAGCGAGATCATATCTCCATGTCGAGACGGCAGAATCCTCGGTGCACCACCTCCGTCTCTCCTAACAGGTCCCGCTCTTCCTTCGCCTCCTCCTCCTCCTCTTTCACCACCCCCGGCCCGTCCTCCCGGCTCTTGGCTTTGTCCTTGACCAGAGACACACGTCGAGGACACCGAAGCAAAAGCCAGATGTCGATGCAAGAACTCCGGGTCTATTTGATACCAGGCCCCTATTGTGTTCAGCCACTCAGCGCAAGGATAATCTTGGAGAACAAGGAACGGTAAAGACCCGGGCTCATCGGGAACAACTGCCTCTCCCAGTTCCTCAAACTCTCTGATCGTCTCGGATGGTATCTTGCGCATGGATGTGCTCCCGGGCGTGTGATAGTAGATTGAGGCAAAGGGACATAGGCATGCTTGTTGTTGTTGTTGTTGTTTATGCTGGTGGTGGTTACTATCAAGCCCAGCAAGAGAGGAAGAAGGAGAGGGACTGATCGGGTAGTGCGTATTGTTGACGCGTGGAGCAAGAGAGGAGGGCACATCTATTTGCGCCGCGCGCAATAAATAGCGCTGCCATAAAAAATCGGCTAGGTTTTGGAGACTGTCTCCTGGCTGGAACGAGTGCGAGGCTGTGATGGATGCATATGCTCGAACTCTTTCTACGTAGTCCTTGGGTGTATCTGGGATGTATCAGCATGTTTACCCGTAGCATTTCTCATTCATTATGATGTTCATCGCTCAGAATCTTACATCTTCGTAACCGATCTCCAAAACTGCTTACAGAGTGCAACGCGGTGAGATTCGATGTTCTGCGACTGGGTTGTTTCATGGTGTTGTCCGGAGAGGTTGTTGACGACTGCGAGAATGTCGGGTCGACGAAGCTTGAGAATGCAGTTGAGAAGAAGGACATGAAAAGCAATGACGAGTTAATTCAGGCGCTCTTGATTTCTTTTGAATGGGTTTGGCGTTAGCAGCAACGATATCGTCGGGTGACTGCAACTTCAAATGCTTAACATGAGGCTGGATTTTGGGCTGACCACAGGGGAGAGCATGACTGGACATGATTGGCCTGATCAGAGCCGATATTTTGCTGATGCAACCCTCCTCGCTGCCCTACTTGGTCATAGGCAATTGTAGGTGTCGACACCGAGGCGGCAGTGCGAAGATGTGCCATTTCTGAAACAAGCCACCTGCCCGGCGCTTAAACTCGTCGGTAACCTATCAATTTTACCTTATCCTCAGCCCTACGGATTTTTGGAGTATCTAGGAAGGGCCGCTGGAAGGCTTGATAAGCACGCCGTTTTCGACCTTTATTCTTGATGTTCTCTGGGGACTTTTATGTCCACTGTTGTAGATGTTCCTCTGCTCTCTGTTGGGTGTGGAAGACTAAAAATCCGAAACTCGCAGATACCTGCAGAATAGTTCTACATTTCTCTTAAGCTTACAAGATCATCTTGAAATCCGGATCTCTATCATCTCCAGAGCCTTCGTATTTTGCATACTTCCCAGCGGCTTTGTCCTTGTTGATTTTGTTACACCAAAGCACATTGGTGAGGATCCTGCAGAGTGTTAGCAAGCGTGCTCTTCTAACCCACTCCAAGACAAAGACTTACGCAAACCAAGCATAAACTAGCAGACCAAGGAGAATCGTGTGCCCCTTGTGGTAAAAGGGCTTATCCTTTGAGGGATAAACGAAAGCTGAATGGGCGTTGGTTAGTAGGCAACCTCATATCAAACACACCCCAACACTTACTAGCAACAAAACCGCCAGCGTTTGCAATAGCGAGTTGCAACGCCGAAGTAGTTGCACGCTTGTAGTGCCCCGCAGAGTTGTTGGAATTCCAAACGAGGACGCATGGAACGCTACTATACATGCCAATCGCCATCAAGCATGTCATAGCAAAACGAACTTGGGCAGAGGCGACATTGGCGATAACGGCGTAGCCAACGATAGCGACGGGCAGAGTGAAGAGCATCATGACGCCCCTGAGCTTAAGGCGATCAGAGGCAAAAGCAATGACAACTGCACGTGTGGGTTAGCACGGACAGGAGTTGAAAGATACAGACAGTACAGACCTGTGACCGGGGTGGCAACCGCGTATGGAATAACCGACCAAAGTTGGGTCTGGTTGGGGTTAGAGGTAATGTTCAGGTCGTTGATGATGGTAGGTAGCTAGGGCCAGTCAGTGATCTTGGTCTTGCCAAAATGTAGGATATAGATGTGGCAAACCCACAAAAAGACCAAAGCTGTAAAGCCCAGACAGAATGGCAAAGTATGCAGTAGCTGTTAGCCAAACTTGGAGGTTGAAGACGCCACGGCGAACTTCAGACCACTTGAACCTTTCCTCCCGCTCAAGAACGGGACTACCAGAAAAGCACATGTTAGCTGAGTCTCATTACCGACAATCCCTGTCCTTCGTCTTACTTGAACCTATCCGCCGTACCAGCGCCAGTATCGCCTTGAAGCCTCCTTGCAGCGTATTCCTTCTCCTCATCAGTGAGGTAAGGAGCAGCGACGATGCTTGTTGGAAGCAAGAGATATGCCACCATGCCCGCAAGTATGGTCTAGATGCATGAGAGTGTTAGTCTCGCGTCTGGCTTTTCAAAAAGTCCGCATTGCTTCGTGGAGGTGAACTTACAATCAGCCCTTCGATGATGAAGATCCATCGCCAACCCTCCAGACCACCCCGTGGACCAATAGCAGAGAGCCCCCGTGCTAGAAGACCGCCGAATGCACCCGACAAAGAGGCAGCGGTATAGAAGATGCCAATTCGTAGCGCCATCTCCTGGCGAGTATAGAGGCCGGAAAGGTAGAGCACCATTCCTGGGAGAAGGCCGCCCTCGGCAATTCCCAACAGGGCCCGCACCCCAAAGAAGCTTCCAAAGTTCTTTACGAATCCCAGACACATGGTGATAAGGCCCCAGATGATGGTCAGGAAAGGCAGCCAGATCTTGGGCGTGACCTTTTTAAGGACCAGGTTGCTTGGAAGTTCACTTAAGGGTTGTTAGTGAAGAACCAATAGAGGCCTGTGATGCGAGCAACGATGACATACCTGGCGATGTATGTGGCATAGAAGACTGCCAACCCCTGGTTATACTGCTTGTTGGAGATGTTGAGATCTTCTTCAAGCCCGATGATCTTGGCGTTGCCGACGTTGGTTCGATCGAGGAAAGAGCAGAGGAAGAGGAGGGCAAGGACAGGCAAGACTCTTTGATTCCGTGGGTTAGTGTCTTTTGTTTGGAAGAGAAGTCCTTGAAAACGGACACTGAATGGAATTTCCTACCTCGTGTCCATCTTCCACAATATTCGTCTGGTCATGCTGCGATGGTGTTCGCTGTCGGAGTTGGTCCTCTCCATCTTCTCAATGGAGGGTCTCTCGCCCACCTTGTCGGCATTCGAAGCATGATTGTTCGAAGTCATGTTTCGAGATGTGAAGTTCACCTTCAGTCAGTCGCGTGTAGGAGTGTGAGATGGCCAAGGTTGCCAAGTTGGAACAAGCTTTTATATCATCTAAAGAAGACGGTCAAGTCACAACTTGCGATGCCCCTGGTGACACGGTGACGAGCAAGCGCTGTTCCAGATGCAGATCAATAAGCTAGACGCTGGATCACCGCATATTGATTGGTCTCACTTTGGAAGCCCCGAGTCTGGGGCAATGTTACGCCAACAGTTCAGAGTTCAGGTGAGTGGACGGGGAGAGCGGGGTACGACCAGCGGTAACTGTTTGTGGTACACCGAGCATGAATGTCGGATATCTTTTCCGTGACAAGTGCCTGGGTGCTTGCGGCTCTAATCTTTTCTTGTACACTAAGTGTACGGGAGTTTGTTAAGTTGTTGAGATTCTTGTGGGAAAAGCTGAACGGCTTTCATGTCTCACGAATCTCAGTACGGCATTGGTTCTTGACGCAGGGCAGGCAGCCACGAAGGAGGTCGACAAAAGCGGCCGCCATGCTCATCAGCGCAGGAAAGAACAAACAAGAGGCATGATGTAAAAAGATGATGGTCGCGCACCCAGTCTCACCCAGCCGTCATTACAGGTACAGCAGCTGCCCCTGCCTGATCCCGAGCGAGGGCTTCATTATGAAATGTGGTGGTTCTAGACCGTCTCAAGGGTCAAATGCATGGATCTTCCCGTTTCATACACCTAAATTGAAAGGAGATTGGGGATCGGAAGAGAAAGTCATATGGCTGGAGGACGCCTTCCAGATTTATAGGTAGATGGTCAGTAGAGAGGAGAGGATGGACCCAAATTGTGTGCTGCGCAGCGAGGAAGCATCTCGGCGTCTGGTCTGTGCACGGCCTTGGCATGAGGGTCGGGTGCATCCCGCGCCTTGACTTCACCTTGGGTCCTGAATCGCACATTCGATACTACGTGGATAAAGATGAAGGAAACGAGTTTGCTAAAGACGATATTCGCGTTGACACATATCATAAAGCTGTGTATTTGGCTGAAGCCTACCGGTTTCCAGCTGTGGAGCTGTTGAGACGCATGAATCGTGATGGGCGGGTAGCCTCCGCCTCCGCAAAGTTGGCATTCTTGGCAGGATCCACTTTTGACTTCATCTCATGGCACCTTCCCGACACTGGCAGCGACCTGGAACTCATCATCTCCGCCAACATGATCGAAAGGGCAGGAGCCACAATGATCTGGTAAGTTTAACACCAAATGGCAGGAGAAAGGCGCGGTGTCGAAAAGCCGCAACTGCGACGGCGAAAGATCCCGCTGGCGTGTGAGCCCTGCCGCGAACGCAAGTCTCGTTGCGACGGGGGGAAGCCGATCTGCTCGACTTGCCAACGTCGGTCTTTGCCTCTAGAACAATGCATCTACACCATCGAGAATGCGCGTACAGCTAGCAATGATGAATATATCAAAACCCTTCATGAAAGGATCCGCCAGCTGGAGCGCCTCTGTGTGGAACATGGAATCCCAACTCCCCCTATAACATCGGGCAGCCCCACACCGGCACCGCAATCCGCTACTACTGCAGGTCCGGGCCCTGGCGCAGGTCAGTTGGAACCACTGCAACGGCAGCGGGAATCTCCCTCGGTCTTTGACCAGTCCATCACCTCCAGTGTTACCGCTCCTTCTCATCCGGATTCCCAACACCAAAGTCCGATCCGTCCCGGGCCATCTCGGAATGATCCCGGTCCGAGCCACGGGCCGCATGGACGCGATCACCGAACACCGAGCCAAGGCCCAGGTCCGGGTCCAGCAGCTATTCTACCACTACCACCATTGCCTCCTCCTCGCCATACGCCCGTTCTCTCGCCGACCGAACGGCTCCCCGAAGCAGCTCAACTGGGTAGCGCAATCGCGGCTATGGGAGCCGTCTCTACCGGACAAGATGCCGCTTTCAACGCCGCCGACGATTTCTATGGCAGTTCCTCGGCCGCCACTTTCATGGAGGAAGCGAGCAGCTTTGTCAAGAAGAAACACACACATCGCATTCCAGATATGGATGTCCGACCGACACAGATGCCACACCCTGTGACTTCCAACCCTCTCCACTGGAAAGGTGGTGATTCGCGCATTTCCACACGCATGCAGTTCGCCCAGGCCGACAAGTTTGCATTACCTCCACGGACTCTGGCCGACCATCTCCTCAAGCGCTACTTTGAGAGGGTGTACTGGCTATACCCCTTCTTCCACAAACCCACCTTTGAGCAAGCGTACGAGAGTCTGTGGAGACCGAGCCATGAGCATCCTACTGAGCCGCCATCCCCTCCCGGTCTTGGGCTTGGAAGTTCTCCGGGAGCGGACGCCAGCACTATCGTGTTTCATTTTGCTCTAAACACCATCTTTGCTATAGGCTGTCAGTTCTCTGACCTCACTCCGGATGAAAAGGCCTCCACGCTACAGACCTTTTTTGACCGAGCAAAGGCATTCGTCAGTCTCGATCTGCTTGACCTCAACAACATCGGTGTCGTACAAGCCCTGTTACTCATGACCATATTCTTGCTGGGCACACCCTTTCCTCAAAGATGTTGGAACTCTGTTGGAGTGGCCTGCCGACTTGCTCAGGGCCTTGGACTCCACACAGAGGCAAGTCAGTCGACTCGTATTATCCGGTCCGACTTGGAGAAGGAGATACGGCGGAGGACATGGCATGGCTGCGTTATCTTGGACTTGTAAGTGATTTCCATCCATTCCATGATTATATGGGTCGCGAGTAAAAAACTAACCGCATACTGCCTGTGTGATAGGACCGTCAGCATGACTTATGGGAGGCCTACCATGTCTGCTCATCTTGATGCGCTCGCATTGCCGTCCATTGCCGAACTTGATGGCGGACAGCTTGACCATCAGAATAGCCCTTCACCGGTTAGTGTGCCGTCAAAGATGTACTTCTACCTCGAACATATTCAGCAGTGCCATATCATGGGAGAGATTTTGTCCACCGTCTACCAATCAACCTTGGGTCGACCAACCAATCTACAGGACCCGTTGAATAGTGATCAAGCTACCCATGGCCTCGATGACATCCTTGCGCTCGACGAGAATCTTTCGCGATATGAGAGATCTGTGAATCCCATCATGTCCTGGAGCACGCCGGCCGATCTCACAGCGGTGGAACCGGAGAGAAGACAAGTTATCGAGACCCAGAGGACTGTGCTCCATGGAAAGTAAGTCCCACTTTCCTCAAGTGGAATTGCAAATTCTAACATAGTCCTAAGCTTTCTTTACCTACGCGTGATGCTTCATCGCCCTATTCTGTTACAGTTGTGCATGGATACCGTGTCGCACTCGACCAGTGACTCTAGCTCTCCGACAAAGAAGAATTTCCCTAATGCCAGGCGGGCCGTTTATACCTCATTCGCTGCAGAATGTGCCAAAATCTGCGTAACGGCAGCGACCGATTTGCTTGAGCTGGTTCATAGGACCTACCGGACGGATAAAACTGGTGGATGGTGGTGGGATGCGCTATGTAGGTCTCAATCTACTACTGTGTATGCTTTTGCCCCTATTGCTCACGCAAGCAAACAGATGCCTTCACGGCCGGGATAGTTGTTATTTTGGGACAACTTTGTCCGGCATCATCGTCATCGTCGTCATCGTCGTCATCATCATCGGAGCAGCAACGCTTCCGCCGGTCATGGGACTTGTGCGAAGAGATTCTTGGACACTTTGCTTCGTTTAGCATTTCCGCGCACACATCTCTCGTACACTTGCGAAAGTTTCATGGAAATATGGTTTCCCGGCTATCAGGTACGTGGTCTGCAATGTTCGTTCTTGCTCCAGAGTTGACGAATGCGGGTGTAGATAAAACTGTGGGGGAATCTTTGATAACTGAAAGAGGACCAATGTCGTCAGCTGCCAATCAAGCTTCCGTCCCAAACACAGACGCGATACCTGGACCTAGCTCCCATATATTCGGACAAGGGTATCAGTTCAATGCTCCGTTGGATCCCGCACTTAATCCATTCTGGCAGCCTCCTGGTGGTGCGCAAGAATTTGGAATGGCCGATGGTTCCCTCTTGAACTGGGACCCAAATCTGGAGAACTTTATTATGGACTTTTCCAGCGATGAGGTGCCGTTGGCCTTGGGGCACAACCATGGACAATAAGCCCTTGCACTTGCCAGCAGCCCCCATGATTGGCAACGATATTACTGTATTGTAGGTGGCCCTCTGCAGGGTTCTTTCATATTTCATCTGATCTTGTCTCCCTACTGCTGGCCAACGTCGGGCAAGAGGAGCGAGATTTGTTTGCCTTCTGGATATTTTACCCTGCCCTCCCAACGCTTCCCGTCTCTTTTGCCAGCGCGAAAGTTTTTTTTTTTCCCTCCCATTAACAACCCTTGACGCAAAAGTATTGGAAAATCAGCCTCACACTCGATATCAGCGAAGCCTCACTCTTGTTGGCTCGCTGCAGCTACGCTTGCCAAAGAGCCTTCTTAACTCTCAGTATCAAAGCGCACCCAGTACCAGAGCTCGGTATGTATGATCTTTACCTTGATTCTTCGACGTCCCACCTGGTTCTGACCTTACTCTCACTTCTAGCTCCACTCAGGCCATCAACATGCCCTCCAAGAGGGAAAAGGCTGAAATAAAGCGCCGTTTCGAAGAGGAGTGGGAGAAAACCGGTGGGCTCGCTATGCTTTGAGCTACCGCAAGCCTGATGGAACTCCGGAGGATCGCCCCAAGGAGATTTTTGGTGCTTGGCAAACTCGCGACATGGGGGACCACGACGACCATGCTATCCTCAAACGCCTTTACCTCATGCCGGAATGCGAGCGTGAGGCCACGAACTATCTCTGCGGGCGTGCCGACGGAATGGTGTTCATTGAGCATGCCAGGGACGCGCAGTGGGGAATTTCGCGCGCCCAAAACGGCCGCATCAACGACGACTTTAGCGATGGAGATGTAGACTTTGAAGATGAGTAACATAGACTCTCGTATGTGTTTGAACGATTTACCGCATTATCCGTAAACAGATCATTCGCAGAGCGCCTTACTTACCAAGTGCAAAACAGGTTCCAAGTCGACAAGTTTCCCTACGGCATGGAGGCTTTCTCGGCGGTCTCTGACTTTGACTACGTCAAGCTTTGGGCGGCCTGACTGGATTCATGTCGGCTTTTGGCATCAACCGTAACGATAACGATGCGGTCTTAGAGCTGGTCAACTGATCGCCGCACTTCACAAACAAGGGGCTTGCTTCACTCATCCCCAAGTTTACGTTAAGATGGAGTGACTATGTTTAGAAGCGTAGTAACGGACGCATTCCATTCTTGCTGGCTGGGTTAAAGAGAGCAGATGATTGCCGCAGAGCAAGAGCCAAGGCAATTCTCAAGACATTTGTGATAGGTCCGACGATTCGTGTCTACGACGATATCTTCTTCGGTCATTGACGCGGTTTCCAAAGAGCAGAAATAATGATTGCGTGCGCTTGGGAATTGTGCTCGCGGTCTAGGAGAAGCCCACTTGCCAGGCGTAGGACCAAGGTAGAAGCCAATGGAAACCCACCTTCCCTGACCCGTGTTACTTGACATGATGACATTTCTTTCCAGGAAGGAGGTGAATGGCTCATCCTGGGAGATGATGGTTGTCGAGGGAGAGAAGGAACGAAAGTGAGAGTCTGGGGCTTGGGGGCCGGAGGCTGCCGGGGAGGAGCTGTCCCGGTAAGCGAGACACTTGCCAGGAGTGGACAATAGGTAAGGCATGCAGCTGCACTGCACCTCAGTACTTCCTGCGTCATAGAATCCCGAAAGGCAAGGACGAAGAACTAGGAAGGGCGGTGCTCTGCTTGCCTATCATTGCACCTGCCTCGTTGGAAGAGCCTTAAGCTCCGAACTTCCGACAAAAGGAAAGTGCCACGGGTCCTGCCACCTGGACACGGCAACAACCGCTCCAGACTTCTTGTCACACGTTTCTGCTAACGACCCTTCAGCACTTCTCCCCAAAAACATCACAACCACTCGCATTTGCTTCAGGATTTTGGTTGCTTTTTTCATCGACGCATTCCCAAGCACACAACGAGGTATTGACGAGACTACACACTTAAACATCGGTAAGGCCCTTTCTTCCCTATTTCTCCAGTTCCCATCATTTTGTCTTTTGTGATGGAATGCATAGCAAGCTCTAACTTTATTGAACCTGTGTCTGCCCAAATCTCCAGTCTACTACATCCAAACATGACATCCCAAATCGACAATATGAGCCTCGAAGCCCACTTTGAGGCGTGTTGGAGCATAAGCTGGTACGCCCGCTACAAATGCGCGCGGAGCAACTTTTCAGGCGTCTGGGTAGGGCCCTCTGTCCCCGTCGAGGTCGTTGACCTCTGGAAGCGCTGCGACTGGCATGACCTGCTTAATGGAACTGGTGGAGTCCCGGCCGAAAACACTTACCGTCAAATCATTGAGAACTTGAAGTCTTTGCCGGAGGACGAGAGGAAGATCACAAACTACCTCTGCGGAGCAGTCCCCATGGAAAGCATGCCAATGTACGACCGGCCAGATGGGCCATATTGGCGCGCCACTCGCGCTCACAACGTGCTGCACAAGGACGTTCGCACTTTTGAGGAAAAGAAGCTGGGGGTCATGGAAACAAGCCTTTGACGTATGTACCATCGATTGCCATCCCTTCAAAGATCAAAACTGAAGCTTGTCTCTAACGCCTACGCAATGCTCAACAGTGGCCTCTACGTCAGTCCACACCCTGCCCCAGCTCCGGCTGGCGCCGACGCAGAGAAGGACGAGCCGCCCATTACCATCGTTCCGGTGTCCGAGGAGCAGTAGATACCGCTGCGTCAACATCTTTCTCGCTCAAGCAGGATCCATTCCGCTACTTACATCACCGATTGCCAAGCCAGCCAAGCTGAAAGAGTGGACAGCAGTCAACAACACCTCCTAGCAGTGATGGCAGCATCCGATATGCGTTGAGTCAAACGAAGGCTTCGGCTACATTCGCAACGACACAATTATGTTTAGAATATAGGATGGGTTGCTGTTCGAGCTTGCAAGGTCTTGGAACGCTCTTCAGGTCATGGAATCCACTTAACCAAGGTTTAGAGGGTCTTTAGAAAGGGACGTTGAAGGAGTAGGGACGCATTCAAGTAGCGCTTTGTTTATTAGAAGGGCGGAGGACGATATGAAGTTACCAGTGGTTTCCCTAACTCAAAGGAACGTTAATTTTTGTTAAGCTATCGATACACTCAGCGTTATAGTTGAGTCCATGGAAGCACTTCATTGTTATCAGCTTCTTGACAAGGGACTCTTGATTGCTAATGAAGGGCTGTTTTCTTTACGACTCAACGGGAGATATGTACATGGCAATGGCAAAACTCTGAGAACGTCCCCGCCTTATACTGGTCTCCTTCCTAACTTTATAGGTAAATAAGTAATGGCCGACGCCCAAACTCCCACGTTACCCACCTCCAAAGAATCAACGTAAACACCCCCGCCAGATTGTTTACCCGCCAGGGACATCGCAAAAACCAAAGTCTAGACACCAAGGCACGAGACTTTCCAAGCACACCTCTACCTGAACTAGCACAAGACGACTATTCGAGAATCCACACTGCAGCAAGGAAAAGGGCTAACAGCCAACAGCCACAGCAACCATGAAATCCTACCCCTACCCCTACCCTTACTCTGCCGCCATCGAGCCCCCAGGAAGCTTTCCTCCTTCACCTCCTTCTCCATCCCCAAGTCAGACTGAAACAACTCTACGAATTCACGTCTCTGATTCCCCTTCCTACTCTCGCTCAGGACCGGGCTTGGGCCGCTCCCCTGCTAGTCATGCTCCTCCTACCCTAGTGTTACGATCCAATCATGGAGACTAGACTAGCCGACCAATCAGATCGGACCCGAAGCCCCGGGTCCAGTATATCGGGTCCATGAAGACCAGTATAAAAGAAGGCCTTCCCCGGCCTCTTGTTACCGGTTCTTCAGCAAGCAATAGCTATCACAATCTACCAGTACCTTTTGGCTACTACACTGTTACTCTATTGTTCTATCCCAGCGATAATACTCCTGTGCTTGTAACGGTTCGTCACACCTAGCCCCCAGCTCCACGTACCCTATCTCGTCCATTGCCTCTACCCAAGACCAGGGGCGAAGAAGACTGGTCACGAGGACTTGGCTGGATGGGGTGCGAGATCCTCGAGATGTTGAGGGTGAGGCGGTGGCGGTAGCGCAGCCGGCGGAAGGGTTGAGGATGGAGGGTTCTAGGAGTGGGACTGGGACTGGGACTGGGACTTATGCCGCTGCAGATGGAGCATGGGAGGTCAGGTCCTTGGAGGAGGAGGAGTGGGGTATGTGGGCTGGGAATGGGAATGGGACGGGGACTGGGAATGGAACTGCAATTGGGAATGGGACTGGGAATGGGACTGAGGCTGGAAATAGGGCTGTGGATGAGTCTGGAGGACATGCAGGAAGAAACTGGGACAGCCACGGGGAAGAAGAGATGGGAGGTCCGCGGTGGGGTATTGCGACCGAGACAGAGACGGAGAGCCGTGGCTTTGAGGGACACACGCAGGATGAGGGTGTGAGTACCCCTAGAAGCGAAGATGCCGTCTCTGTCTCTGGGTCCGTGGTTCGCGATGGCTTTGGGTTCTGTAGCCGGTGTGGAGCTCCCTGGAATGCCGATGCGGATGATGAGCAGGACCCGAAACGACTATCAGCCAATCACGGTAATGACAATGGCAACAGCGAAAGTCAGGGATGGGGCCGCAGGGCAGTCTACGGCCAGGAGGGCTTGAACAGGCTGAGAAGCCTTCAGACTACCACCTCCTGGGGCAACGGTACCTCGACCTCTGAACTGCCTGACTACCAGCCTCAGTACAATACGCCCAGGACGACAGTGTGCGGTGCTTTGGGAGGGATAGACAAATGGAGTGCGATCGGAGGTATGGTATTGAACATGCAGAACTCCTCGCTACTGACTCTGGCAAAGGAAGGGACTGAAACTGACACCGAAGTGGAAAACTTAGGAATTACTGGTGGGGTAAGCACGAGAAGAACGAGGATGACGATGATGACGACGAGGAAAGGAACTGGGATGGAGAGAAGACGATACATGTGGGATATCGAAATGTGAGAAGGTCTGATGAAAATAGTCAAGGCAACAACGGATGGAACAGTGATGGATGGGGAGAGAATCGTGGATGGGGGTAAGCTTCCGATTCTTTGTGGTGTCGATGGAGTATCTGTCTGAAGGAAACTAATCAACCTTCTGCTGCCTAGTAACCAGGATCCCACCGCCTCTGTCGCCGTGGAGGAGACGTACCAAGCATCGTCACATGAAGAAGAGCAGGACGGATGGGGGGTTCATCTCAGGGCTGAAGTGGCTGAGACATCCAGGTATGTCAACCAACAAACCCCCATTCATCCTCTTCACAGCTCACGTTACTGACAGCTGTGTCCCTAGCCATAAAACGAGTACCACTACCGTAGTATCTTCTTCTCAACACACCCATGGGACTTCAACCACCAACCGAAAGCAGAGCTCCGACTCAACAATCAAAGACTCCTTCGAATACATGAAACAATGGGGAGGTCTTAAAGGCTCCATGAATGCTTTCCTGGTTAATCCCGAACGGACCGATGCTGTTTATCAAGCTGGGAAACTGATTCTCTCACTACGCGCACAGGGAGCATCGTTTGCGCGGCCTCGACGGAAGTTTTGGGATGAAGAGTTGGCGCGGGTGCTGGCGGGGGATATGTTCTAGGACGAGCCATGAGGCTATTAAGAACGGCTTTTGTACCTATGTCAGGACGGTTGAAGTTGGGCTGTGGATGGGAGTGATCGGGAGTTTGGACTTGATCGGATGGAGCGGTCAACGATGGGGAGTGCTGGGGTGCGCACTGCTCAGCTACCCGATTGTAGAATAGAGTGATGGGATGGTTAACTTGAGCATTGAAACTAAGGTAAAGAGACACACAAAAAGCCAGGCTGAGAGATGTTTAAAAAAAAAAAAATTTAATAATAAAAAATAATAAAAAATAATAAAAATTTTTTTTAAAAAAAAAAAAA